CTGAACGTACAGTATCAGTGCACTGGATCAGTGTGTTCTCTTAAAGTGACAGCACTTTCTTAATGTTAATCAAACAGCAACAACACGGAAATCTCTCACTGCTCTTGATTGAATAACTTTTGTAACTTTAATAAGGATTAATCTTTCATTTATACAGTCAAATATGCAATGTTATTTTACATTTGATTACTTTATTTAATTTCTGTACCTAAAAACTAATGTTAGACCTACCTAAAAAATCTGAAAAGCACTGTTTATTTTATTTGTATTTTTGATCTGTTGTATTTATTTGTTTGTTATGTTGCTTGTAGTTAGATTGTGTTCTTATTTTCTTTATTTTTATTTGACAATATCGTTTTTTCCCTAAACATAGCACATACCGAACCGTACAGAAACCGTGACTCTAAAACCGTGATACAAACCGAACCGTGAGTAAGTTGAACCGTTGCACCCCGTGTACATATTCAGTTATTTTCATGACTATGAAGGTCAGTTATCGATTATCAAGAACACCATTATGATGTTGTTTACGAGAGAGCATCGCTAGCTAATGCTAATGTTTAGTTGTAAGCATTTAAATGTACAATTACGTGTCTGGCTACTCCCCTGGGATTACCAGGCTCAGCATATAAAATGATATGTTGTTAAATAACATGAAACCGTATGTTAATGCCGCTTTCATCATTTACGGAGTTGCAGTTATTTTGGTTCTCAGTTTCTGAAAAAAATGAGGCAGGAGAGGTTTCTGTGAGCGTCTCAAGAGTCTCTACCTATATATATACCACAACATCAAATGACGTTTTACCGGAAGTTTACGAGCAGGCTTATCTTAATGCGGAAGTTCTGAAAAATGCTCCGTGAATATGGTGATCCTGATTGAGCATCAGGAGTCTCATGACATGGCGTGGCTGGACAGAGATTTTCCTGGTTGTGGAGGGAGTACGTTGTCTGCGTGTATGTATGAATTGTGTGTTGGTTGGTGTTGGGGAGTTTTAGTTTCAGATCTGAGCACTGATGGTCTGATATCATCTACTGTATATCAGAGGCTCAGAACTCAAACAGTTTCACTCTGATAATCAACATTTTAAAATTTTCACCCGCAACGCCTGATTCTATTCCTGCCTGTTCATGTAAGCATGGTTCTGTTGTAGCATTCTTGCCATTCATCATGGCTTTTCACTCATCATTTGCATGGCAAAGTAAACAGACAGGGAAGGAATAGAACAGGCCTCACGCTGTACTGAGTCTTCAGCCATTGGCTGGATCTCTTGATCGACTGTGATTTCCTCCAATCAGGTGTTCCAAGGGAGGCTCGACTCTCTTGCCGTGGCAACGATCAAAACTCTCACGACAGTGATGCACAAGTCACCTGCTGCAAAGGTTTGTTATAATCAAGCGATCCCTCATTAAGCTTTGTGTACAGGATTTATATCTGGAATGGTCCTAAAGGGAAGTTTTATAATAGGATTCTAACATAAAACAAAAACATATACATTAGGGCTGCACGATTATGACAAAAATCATAATTGTCGATTATTCAACAATGTGTGCGCTTCGCTTTGAAACGTGCAGCGAAAACAGACTTGATGAAGGGATTAAGCATATTGTGCTTTTAGTTTGAGTTCATTCGACAGATACTGTGCCAAAGCATAATGACCAAAACACAACTTTAAAGACCTTTTGTGTTAGAATAAGAAGTTTAAATATATTTTAAAAACGTCACTTTTTGCATATCGTTTCATATCGTCATGTGACCAGCACGATAATATCGTTTTAAAATATGTTCAACTGAAGCTTGCATACCATTACATTCAGCCGTGCTCCATTCTGCTGATTCTGAATCACGAGCCGAAACCAGCCCAACTCCACAAGCCTTCCCTAAAAGCCAAGTAACCAACTACTCATTCAGACAACCCATCATTCCTAAAATCTCCAGTGTGTTCACCTTCCAGGAAGCAGTTTGGCGATCTCGGCCCAGCGGTTGCCCAGCACACAGTGAGCCTTGTAGATGATGAGATCTTCGTCTGGGGTCCAGGAAGACTTCTTGACGTCTGGATTGAGGTGGTTGTGCCAGCGCTCTCTGCACTGCTTCCCGAGACGGCCCTTCAGGTGCTTGGCCACCATCGCCCACTGCTTGTTGCCGTACTTCTTCACGAGCTCAATCACCTGGACACGAACAGACTTCACATACTGCGTCACCGATACATTCCCAGACTAGTCTGATTGTTCAAGATTGCTGGTTAAGAAACTGCTGTACCAATTGTAAAGCCCCTATGAAGTATATTGTGTTTTTTCCAGTTTTACTTTTTCTGGATTCTGTTCTACCCAGCGTTCTTCAATGTTATACAATAAATTCAATTCTTATGATTAGATTTTGCTATTCCAGTCTTGATTTCCACATTGTAGAAAAATCATAGGCAGAGAATTTGGAAAATTGTATGTAGAATATATACCAAATAAATGTTTATGACTTAACATAGGGCTGCACGGTTATGACAAAAATCATAATTGTCGATTATTCCCTTGAAATTGTAATTGCGATTATTAATTACGATTATCACAATTTACATTGAATGATGTTTATACCATTGTTTGATGCAACTGCATGCCGTATTTTTATATGAAAATAAACAAGCCGAAAACACTCATGTCAAATATACATCGGATTGGTTTCTTCTTTAATTATAAAAATATGAATGGTATTATAATGTTATACTAAAACTAAAACAATGGACAAACCCTTAAGATAACATGTAGAAAGAAAAAAAAAGCATCTTAAGCACACAGAATAACATAAGTGGACTTTGAACGATTAATTGCCGCTTTGAACGATTACGTAATTGTGGCATCCATAAAAAAATCCATAAAAAAAAAAGAAATTCGATGAATTGTGCAGCCCTAATATACATTACCATCCATTCAAAAGTTCAGTACGTTTGTTAATGTTTTAGTCTGTTCTGCTCACAGAGGCTGCATTTATTTGATCAAATACAGTTATATTGTGAAATATTATTACAGTTTAAAATAACTGTTTACTATTGTAATATATTTTAAAATGTAACTTATTGCTGTGATCAAAGCTGAATTTTCAGCATCATTACTCCAGTCTTCAGTGTCACATGATTCTTCAGAAATCATTCTAATATGCTGATTTGCTGCTCAAGAAACATTTCTGATTATTATCAATGTTGAAAACAATTGTTCTGATTAATATTTTTGTGGAAACCATGATGCATTTTATTCAGGGCTCTTTGAGGAATAAAAAGCAGCATTTATTTGACATAGAAATCTTTTGTAACATATAAATGTCTTTACTGTCACTTTTGATCAATTTGACGCATCCTTTTTTAATAAAAGTATTAATTTCTTTCAAAAAATAATTTAAACCTTACTGCCCCCAAACTTTTGAATGGTAGTGTAGTTATACATAGTTTTCATCAGACTTTTATAATAAGAAGTAGAAAACGTGGAAATATGAGGGAATTTTTAAATTATTTTTAGGCCTAGAAAAATCATGAAAATTCATGTAGTAAATATTTGAATATATATTCTGTTACAGATACAAAATGAATAATGAATGGGAATCGAATAGGATCTTTATTTGATTCTTATTTGATCCTATTCTATTGGATTGGTTATAAATTACGACAGAAATGGTGTAGGAAACTTTTGAATTTTCACTCAGAAAATACTAGCAAATTTCACAAATAATGTTATTAAATTAAATTTGAAATTTTGAAGTAGAAAGACATTTCAACATTTTGTTGGGATCTTTAGGCAGCCAGTCGCTGAGTTCCTCTGAGCTCCAGAATCTGCTGAGACTCCTGCGTCAGGACGAGCCGGGTCGCGCTCACCCGTATGTGGGACCGGTGCTGCGGGCGCTCCTGGGGATGGTGCGCAAACAGGGCCTGGAGAGCGCCATGCAATACTTTGATCTGTCACCGCCCATGGCTGGCATCGCCGTGCCGACCATCCTCCGTTGGCCAGGCTCCGCCTTCAGCTTCTTTGCTTGGCTCTCATTGGACCAAGATCAGCTAGGCCCGCCCAGTAAAGGAGAGAAGAGGAAACAGCTGTATAGGTGAGAATGGAAATAAGAGATTAGTGGTGTGATGGTGATTTTGGTAGGAAGGGAAGATAAAGGAATTAGGATTGGGGGAAACAAACAGTTTTTCAGCCTTTTATTCTATTTATTAAGTAAGTTTAATAAATAGGTTATTATATACACTACTGCTCAGAATTTTTCTGGTTAGTAGAATTTGTAAAAATGTTTTTGAAAAGTCCATTCTGCTCACTAATTTAATTTTAAAAAGTTGCAATAAAAACTGTAATATTGTGAAATATTATTACAATTTTATATAACTGTTTTCTGTTTGAATATATTTTAAAATGTAATTTATTTCTGTGATGTAAAGCTGAATTTTCAGCATCATTACTCCAGTCTTCAGTGTCACATGATCCTTCAGAAATCATTCTAATATGCTGATTTGCTGCTCAAGAAACATTTCTTTTTATTATTATTGAAAAGGTTTTTTGAAAACTATTTTTTGTGAAAACCATAATACAGTTTTTGGATTGTTTAATGAATAGAAAGGTCAAAAGAAATCTCGTGTAAGATTAAAAATGCATTTACAGTCACTTTTGTTCCATTTAATGCATCCTTGCTGAATAAAAGTATAATTTTAGTAACCCCAAACTAGTGTTTTTGCACCAAGATATATTTTTTTGTATTTATTTATTTTATATTTTTATTATTATTAAGTAAAAAATATATACAGTCATTACAAATATTTGTAAATATTTGAAATATTGTATTATATCAAACTTTAACTATAACACACTGTAAAGAATAGCGGTGAATATTTTAAATGACAAGATCCTGTGTCTTGTGTGCACTATTTTTAATTTATTTGTCTGTTTGCATATTCGTCACATTGTGTCTTTGGTCGTTGCATTGCATCATGCTGTTTTTTTTTCAGCTTCTTGATATTGTGTTTAAAGCTTTTAATTAATATTTTTTCAAACGTTTTTTGTTATGTATCAAATTAGTTTAAAATTGGCAGTCTCCAGTGTGTGTGTGCCTCCTAATTGTAGTATTTAATTTATTTTTACTATGATAGCTGTAAAAAAAAATTTGTTTTGTGTAGTTTTTTCACCCCGGGTGGCACCGGGTTCGAGGCCTTTATCAGTTCAGCTGGAGTGCTTGTGGTTGCCGTGTGCACTAAGAAAGAATATGTCACCGTCATGCTGCCTGACTACTGCTTCTGTGATTCGCTCTGGGTGAGTCACATGACCAAAGAAATGTTCGTACTTGTACTTCTATTTATATAACACGGATGAATTGATGTCTGGTTTGTATTTGACCTTCAGCATAGTATTGGTGTCGTTCACGTGCCGGGGAAGAGGCCGTTTGGCCAGAGTCTGGTCTACATCTTTGTGGATGGACAGCAGAAACTATCAGCACCTTTAAAATACCCAACCATGACTGAGGTGAGAGAAACAACTCTTTCTATGCTGTTTGTATTTGAAAACCCACCCAAAACTCCCTGTGTCAGTCCGGTCAAGTCTTTTATTGTGTGTATCTCTGTCTCAGGCCTTCACGTCATGCTGTATCGGTTCAGCGGGTCACCGCACCACGACGCCTCCTCCCTCTCAGATCCCCGATCCTCCGTTTTCTGGAGGCAATCCCTCCAGTCGCTCGTCCTTTGGCGCTATCCTCCCGGGCTGGGGCGGCCTGCTAGGGACCAAACCTGAGTCCGTCACCAAACTGATTTCTGCCGGGACTCAGGACAGCGAGTGGGGCAGTCCCACCTCACTGCAAGGCCAGCTGGGAAGTGTCATGGTCTTCCACGAGCCCCTCCAAGCCAGTCACGTCAAAGCCCTCTGTAGCTCAGGACCAAACTGTATTTCCCCCTTTAAAAGTCAAGAGGCTGAACTCGGAGACCTGGCGCCTAAACTTCTGCTACACTATTCTCCAAAGGTGAGGTGTCCATATAGGTACTGAGCTATACTGTAATGAAATGATGCACAATAAAAATAAGTAATATTTACCTTTTTATTTATTTATTTGTTTATCTTTACTCTGCATCTGAGGGATAAACCAACATTTTAATTTAAAATTTGATTTTCATGTATGTAGATTGAAAGACTGGATCTGGTACCAGGGTAAAACAAATCTATACACAAGGCATTTGAAAAGTAGCATATACTACCATTAGAAAAAAATTTGGGGTCTGTAAAATTCATACTTTTATTTCGCTAGGATGCATTAAATTGATCAAAAGTGACCGTAAAAACATTTATAATATTACAAATGATCTCTGTTGCAAATAAATGCTGTTTTTTAAACTTTATATTCATCTAAGAATTGTAAAAAATAAAAAGTCAATTTCCACAAAAAATATTAAGCAGCACAAAATTTTTCAACATTGATAATAATAATAAGAAATGTTTTTTGAGAATCAAATCAGCATATTAGAATGATTTCTGAAGGATCATGTGGGAAGAGGCCGTTTGGCCAGAGTCTGGTCTACATCTTTGTGGATGGACAGCAGAAACTATCAGCACCTTTAAAATACCCAACCATGACTGAGGTGAGAGAAACAACCCTTTATATACTTTTTTGTATTTGAAAACCCACCCAAATCTCCCTGTGTCAGTCCGGTCAAGTCTTTTATTGTGTGTATCTCTCTCTCAGGCCTTCACGTCATGCTGTATCGGTTCAGCGGGTCACCGCACCACGACGCCTCCTCCCTCTCAGATCCCCGATCCTCCGTTTTCTGGAGGCAATCCCTCCAGTCGCTCGTCCTTTGGCGCTATCCTCCCGGGCTGGGGCGGCCTGCTAGGGACCAAACCTGAGTCCGTCACCAAACTGATTTCTGCCGGGACTCAGGACAGCGAGTGGGGCAGTCCCACCTCACTGCAAGGCCAGCTGGGAAGTGTCATGGTCTTCCACGAGCCCCTCCAAGCCAGTCACGTCAAAGCCCTCTGTAGCTCAGGACCAAACTGTATTTCCCCCTTTAAAAGTCAAGAGGCTGAACTCGGAGACCTGGCGCCTAAACTTCTGCTACACTATTCTCCAAAGGTGAGGTGTCCATATAGGTACTGAGCTATACTGTAATGAAATGATGCACAATAAAAATAAGTAATATTTACCTTTTTATTTATTTATTTGTTTATCTTTACTCTGCATCTGAGGGATAAACCAACATTTTAATTTAAAATTTGATTTTCATGTATGTAGATTGAAAGACTGGATCTGGTACCAGGGTAAAACAAATCTATACACAAGGCATTTGAAAAGTAGCATATACTACCATTAGAAAAAAATTTGGGGTCTGTAAAATTCATACTTTTATTTCGCTAGGATGCATTAAATTGATCAAAAGTGACCGTAAAAACATTTATAATATTACAAATGATCTCTGTTGCAAATAAATGCTGTTTTTTAAACTTTATATTCATCTAAGAATTGTAAAAAATAAAAAGTCAATTTCCACAAAAAATATTAAGCAGCACAAAATTTTTCAACATTGATAATAATAATAAGAAATGTTTTTTGAGAATCAAATCAGCATATTAGAATGATTTCTGAAGGATCATGTGACTGAAGACTGGAGTAATGATGCTGAAAATTCAGCTTTGATCACAGGAATAAATTACATTTTACAATATATTTAAATAGAAAACAGTTATTTGAAATTGTAATAATATTTCACAATATTACTGCTTTTACAGTATTTTGATCAAATAAATTCAGCTTTTTTTGAGCACAAAAGGCTTCTTTCAAAAACATAGAACTTTTGTACGGTTAAAATACACAATATATCTGTGTATATAAATTAAGGCATGCTGAAAAAGACCTTCATATAATCAAAAAGCGGGGGGAAAAAATCAACAGCTGACACACACAAGTGGCCAAAATTAAAAAGAAACACGCATCTTTGTATTTGCTCTGAAACATCATAAATGTCAGTTACTCATGTTTGCGACATGACTTCTTTAACATGTACATGACGAATCGTCTTTTTGCATATACAGGCATGTAGGAAAGCAATTTGTCTGGATTTGTCCCCTAATATGCTGCACGGTCGCCTGACAGGAAATCAAGTGGTCAGCTGGGATATCAAAGTATGTACGCCATTTCCCCTCCTTTGAGCTTTCTCCTTGGCGGTTCAGCTGTTGACTGAGCAGATGACGTATGAGAAGAACTCGCAGCTCCTGCAGCAGCTCCACACACACCTGCTCTTCAACTTCAGCATCTGGAACCAAGGAGATTTCCCACTGCGCATCGGTCAGTCTGCATGTGTGTGTGTGTGTGGGATTTATTCATGCTGCGTTTATGTGTTTAAACAAGCAAACTGTTTTGTTCATGCATGCTTTTGTTACACAAACTGATTTTCTTTTCTTACTGTTTTTTTATTTATTTATTTTGCATGTAGGAAAGCAATTTGTCTGGATTTGTCCCCTAATATGCTGCACGGTCGCCTGACAGGAAATCAAGTGGTCAGCTGGGATATCAAAGTATGTACGCCGTTTCCCCTCCTTTGAGCTTTCTCCTCACACTCTCTGCTGAACCTGCTCACACTCTTTGGCCTTTTGTAGGACATGATCAACTGTGTTGGAGGGCTTCCTGTGTTGCTCCCAGTCTTGGAACAGTTGACTTTGTTAACCCCTGATTTACATCACGCCGACCCCTCGGGGTCAGAGGTCATCACCCCTGACTCTGCCACACCTTCTGACGGAGACTGGGTCATACTGCCCTCAAACAGAGCGTCAGGTGAGCACACGCTCTTTATTAGACAGTGTTATAACTAAAACTATTAAAAAATCATTTTGGTCATTTTGAAATTGTTGATAGAAATAAAGCTATAATAAAATATAGATATTAGATGAAAAATGAAAAAAAAAAATAGGAACAATTTGAAAAAGAAATTGCAGAATTAGAAATTAGAAAAAATAATTAGAAACTAGAAAAAATAGAAATAAAGTGAAATCAAATAAGTTTAAATTTAAGTTTAATTCCAAAAAACCTTAATTGCTGAAGTTACTAAAACTGAAATAAATATAAAGTGAAATATAAATATAAAAAACTAATAAAAATGACAAAAGCACATTACAAAATTACTAAAATTAAAATGAAAAGTGAAAATATAAAAATAAAAGCTAATTCAAAATAATAATAAATACTATAATAGTAAAAAAAAATACAAAAATACAGCAGCTTATTAACAGAATGAATGTGACCCGATCTATGGCAACTAAAGGATCTCACCACCATAATTACATTTATTATAAAAAACTATTAAAAATAGTTTTCATGAATAGAAATAAAGCTAAAATAAAACAAAATGTAAATATTAAATGACGAACTTAATGACTTAAAAATTCAAAAACTTAAATATAAATAAACCGAAATAAAATAAGTTTATTTCTGTGGAGTACTAACGTTACTAAAACTGAAATAAACATAAAGTGAAACATATATAGTAAATATGTAAATGGTAAAAATGACAGAAGTCCATAAAAAATTACTAAAACTTAAACTAAAATTTAAATGAAGTCAAAATAGAAAAATCAAAGGTAATTCAAAATATTAATAAATAGTATAATTGAATGTACTACAATAACCATGTTATTAGCTGGAATGAATATGTGACTGATCTTTTGCATCTTAAAGATCTCACTGTGCCTGCCTCTTTTCTGTATTTGTGATTAATATGTCTTGATAATGTTGTGATATAATGTTTGTGAACATTTATTATTCAGAGGCCAGAGTGGAGAGGAATCTCGTGGCGACGTTCTTGCTGGTGATCAAGCATTTCCTGCAGAGGCATCCCATAAACCAGGAAACCCTTCTGCACTCCCACGCTGTGGCCACATTAGGAGCTCTCCTTCAGAAGGTACCCATAATTCTCTTTCCTTTGATTTCTCGGTCTTGCTCTCTGTTTGTCTTCATTCGCTGTCGGTGTCTGTGTGTGTGTGCAGCTGCCAGCGTTTTTCGAGAAATTGACCCTTATGACTGGTTTTGTGGTCCAGGGTCACAAATGGATAAAAAAAATCAAATTTTTAAATGCAGTTTAAAATTTGCATATAATAATGATTTATTAATTTACTTGATGGTTTTATTAACCTACGTTTTATACAGTATTTATATGTACATATGTCATTGTCAATTTATAAAATTGATTTACATTTTTTAAAGATTTCTTTAATGTATAGTTTCATTATTTTAAAACATGAATTAAGTAAAAGTTTTAATTACGTCTATTAATTTGGCCATTTAAAAATTAGATTTTTTTTTCATTTTAATGTATGAATTATTAAACTGATTCATATATTATATTACTTATTTTATTTTTTTAAAGATTTTATATATATTAAACTGATTACTCATAATTTATAATCGACGCCTTAAATAAATTTTATTTTTAAGTGTCACTCCTAGTCCTTCATAACTATTAGCTCAGAGGTTATTATATTATTTTTATTTTTATTTTTTTATATATATAATTTCAAATTCATGTTTTTAAAAAAAATGAATGTTTAATTGAATTACTGAACTGAACTGAACCCATAATCTGGAAGATATATATATATATATATACTCTGGAAGAATTTTTCCCATTCATTTTCTTCATAGGGATTTCAGAGCCTTTTGCTCTGTTAACTGTCACTGTTGCCGAATTGTGACAGTGTAAGTTTTTTGGGACTCTTATACTTTTGTGATGATCTTGATGTGTTTGTGATGTTGAAGGTCACATTCAGTACATGTCCACCATCATCAAAGACAGCAGGAAGCAGTTCAGGAAGAAATATGGAGTGCAGTTCCTGCTGGACACAGTACGCCTTTACTATGGGTAAGACTACATCTCCCACAATCCCTCATTCCTCTGCTGTGCCACTCTCTGTTTTGTAACGTCATGAATGTTCTGGCTCTTTCTCTCTCCATTAAGTCATCTGCTCTCTCTGTCCTTTCTAGTTCTGGAAGTAAAGATGCAGATCTGAGTGAGGATGACATTAAGACAATCAGAGCTTCTCTCTGTGGCCTGTTGAAGTATTACATCGGCAAGGGAACCACCCAAGAGGAGATCCAGAGCATTCTGGGATACATCGCTGCCATTGGAGACGAGGAACAGGTGAGAAGAGGATGTTGGTAGACTCACAGTTTCCTATATAGTATGCATGATTAGGATTAGCGTGTCCCAAATCAGACAGTACACTACCATTCAAAAGTTTGGGGTTGCAAAGATTTTAAGATTTTTTTTTTGTACTGTATCATCACCACTGCAGTGCATTATTTACATACTACGAGTTCACAGAGTATGCATTCATTTAAGTTTAAGTTGCAAGACTAAATTTCAAAGAAATTTGTAAATTATTCAATTTAAAATTCAGAAAATGTTTTCAAGTTGTTCAGTCTAGTTTTTTATTTTATTTCTTTAAACATGTAATTTTGCACATTCCTGATGGTGATAAGGTAATGTCTGACTCTGTGTGTGTGTGTCCAGGAAAGAAGCACTCTCCTTTATTGTTACTGATTTGCCCTTTCTAATCAGTAGAGCAAACATCCTCTGTCTTTCTCTATTTTAATTATTCCTAAACCTCAATGTGCTTAACCGCAAACTGGATTTACTGCCCTGCCAATTCATTTAATCGCTGTCTCTTCCGGTTTCTCCTGCTCTTATCACTTATTAGCAATAAACATTAACTAAACATGAAATTGAAGTCAGTGCCTGTGCTGTTGCAGCTGTGTGGGATCTTGGAGCTGCTGTTGACTCTGCTGCAGACCAGTGCGGCGCGGGACCAGCTCTTCCTGCTGCTGTTTGAACCGGGAGCGGCCGACTCCTGCTACGCTCTGCTGCTCAACAACAAACACTCTGACCGCCTCCGAGAGCTCGTCTTCAAGGTGCACTTCATACTCTGTGCAGCTTCTCTAAAGCAACTTCCGTCAGTTAGAGATATGAAAAAGTGACAACTTTAAGGAATAGATCACACAAAAATGAAAGTTTGCTAAAAATGTACTCACCCTCAGGCCGTCCAAGATGTAGATGAGTTTGTTTCTTCACGTGAACAGTTTTGGAGAAATTTAGTATTGCATCACTCGCTCACCAATGGATGCTCTGCAGTGAATGGGTGCCGTCAGAATGAGAGTCCAAACAGCTGATAAATACATCACAATAATCCACACCACTCCAGTCCATCAGTTAACGTCTTGAGAAGTGAAAAGCTGCATATTTGTAAGAAATAATACATCATTAGGTTGTTTTTAACTTCAAACCGGCTAAAATACGAGTCCTCTATCCATAATAATACTGCTTTGTCCAGTTAAAGAGTCGTCTGGCCTGAATCAGGAGAGAAATATGCACAGATCAAGCACTGTTTACAAGTTAAAACGGTTCTAATCAAATATTGTGATGTTTTTATCAGCTGTTTGGAACACCTTAGCAACTGGATTGCAGCAGTAAATGTAACATTGTAGTGCACAATGAGCTTAACAGATCATTACTTATTATTTGTGCTAATAGTTTCATAATGAAAAAATGCAAAATAATTATATTTTGATATATATTTATATTTGAATGCTCATCAACTATAAATTTGTTTTATGTATTGCATAATGCATTATAAAATATTTGATAATGGCTATGTCAAATTAAAATGAAAGTCACAATCTTTGTCAAATGGATTGTGGTGGTGTGTTTCTGCAGCTGTTTGAGCGGATGCTGAAGTGTGACCGTGTGTATGAGAAGAGCAAGCAGAGGTTGCGCTTGAGGGATGTGGGCTACTCTGGCTAGTACATCAAGATAAACTAAATGAAAATGAGAAATGTTGCCTTGGAAACTATCTAAATTAATATAGTTTTATATTATATTAATATGATCCTGCACCTCACCTCCACCCTCATCAAGTGCCTCCTTCACCAAGTGCTGTCTACTGGTCAGTCTGATGAAAACAGATGAACCCGACCCAGCACATACTCTGTTAAAGCGACTGTCCTTTTAAGAGCTCCTTTTCTCACAAGTCTTTACTAGCCGTGGGTGGTTCAAATATTAATATGTTTATAAGGATTTTGGTGGAAATCAAAATGATGGAAAGAAATATGAAAATAGTGTACATACTTTCAAAGCAAATGCAATGTTGAATATTAATTGAAAAATTAAATATAAAATATTTAATATAATATATATAGTAATCATTACTATTATCTCTCTCTCTCTCTCTCTCTCTCTCTCTCTATATAAATTAATATAGTTTTATATTATATTAATATGATAATTATATTATCCTTTTTTTATTTTAGTTAAAGTTTATTTTACTTCAAGTAACAAAAATAGTTTTGTGGTTTTAGTTTTAGTTAGCTATAAATAACCCTTATTTTAGAACACCATTCAGTGATGGTTCACCAGTGTTGCCAAGTCCGTGGTTTTCCCGCGGAATTGGGCTACTTTATCACTGTTGCCGTGGGTTGTTTTTCATGTCCGCGGGTTAAAGCGACCCCGATAACGTAATATTTAGCCCCGGGAGTGTGAATTTTACCAGGGGAACCCTGCCAAAAACGTGTTTTTTACCCCCCGGAACACGATTTATAACAGGGAGCCCCCCTCGTAATGCGATTTGGCTAGTTTTGGGCTAGTTTTGAGTAGCAATTGGTTTGTTGTGAATACCTGGCAACCCTCGAGGCCACACTGAATTTTGTGATGGGAAATGTTTTTCCATAAACCCTCGTTTTTGACCTTTTATGACATCTCTTTGTCCTCTAGATACTGTGGTAAACTATAAAGATCTGATGGCAGTGGTTCAGCTGACCCATAAAGCCGGACCCAGTGTTCGCCTGACTGTATGCAAGAGGGTGAGAGCATTTATCACATTAATACACTACAGATATTAGTATTAACAAAAACAGAAAACTTGCAAAAAACATTTTTTTAAAGAATAGCTCAAAGGAAAAGTTTTTCTGTGGAGCACAAAAAGACTTTCTTTTTTCAAAATTATTGCTTTTCCATATAAAAGGATAAAATACACTAAGTACCAAAAAATAATCACAATGATACACAAGTCTTCTAAAGCCGAATGATTGCTTTGTGTGAAGAAATGATCAAGATTTAAATTGTTTAATTACCTATGTGCATTCCCCCCCCCCCAAAAAAAACTGCACTAAATGAAATAAAATGACAGAGAAATACTTTAGATGTCTTGTAATGTTTTCAAGCTATAAATACAGCACTTCTGGTATTTCCTGCAGATGTATGCGCTGCTGCAGTCTCAGCAGGATGCAGCGCTGCAGATCTCCAAGCAGACGTGTTGGCAGGGCACACTAATGAGTTTGTTTGTCCGGAGCCCCGGGAGCGACGGAGGTTCTGGTTCAGGCCGTTGTGATGCGGCCAGCCTGGGGAGTTTCGAGCTGAGCCGCAGCAGCGGAGGAAACCGCCTGGAGCCTCCTCTGGAGTGCAGGCCTCTGGGAGACAGCGTGGGGAGGCTGAACGAAGAGCGAGACAGCGCCTCAGACAGCAGGTCCATAGACAGCCTGGACAACGGAGAGCTGATGTCTCTCTCCGAAACACCAGGGGACGCGCCGACACCCAAATCCTGGGGCGGGAAAGCAGGGGTCTTGAGTTTGGACCTGTCCCAGCTGCATCTGTTCGAATAAATGTCACCAAAACTGTCGACCAAAAGCGAAAATTCATTTTCAGACAAGTATTTTTGCTTGCTGATATTTGAGCACTCAGAATTGATCTGAACAGCTAGTTGTTCATGCATTTCCTAATGTCTTTCTCTCCAGTCTGATGGAGAGGATGTTGGAATTGGCCGTAACGGACAATCGAGAGGCGACGACGGCCACGCTACCGCAGCACACGGAGAATGCGGTGCGTCTTCTGCACATGGTGCAGGACTTCCTGCAGGCTGAGGGGCTGGTGAATCCCGCTCTGTGGACTGAGAAGGTTCTGGAGGAGACGGTGACTCTGATGGACGGGCTGATGGTGTGGTACGCCTCCGGGACGCAGTGGCTTCAGCTGTCTCAGGTGGGGCTACGGCTGCTGCTCGGGTTCATGGCGCTAAATTGATCAAAAGTGACAGTAAAGTCATTTATAATGTTACAAATGTCTTCTATTTCAAATAAATGTTGTTCTTTTCTATTCATCAAAGAATCTTGAAAAAAAAAATTATTGTGGTTTCCACAAAGATATACAGCAGCACAACTGTTTTCAACATTAATAATAATCAGAAATGTGATTATTCAATGGTAGACAATGTTTAGTGAAATTTTGTTCACGCATCAACTGAAAACAGCATAGACCAAATTATATGGTTCATCCAAGTGAGCGTGGATTGAAAACAAAAAATAAATATTGTTAACCCAGTCCTAGCATCCACACAGCTGACATGTTCTCCTGTTGTAGCTTTTCCACATTGTATACACAAAATAGGCACTGACAGAGTCAAAACGTGGCATTGTAAACGCGCTAAATAAATGTCACCAAAACTGTCGACCAAAAGCGAAAATTCATTTTCGGACAAGTATTTTTGCTTGCTGATATTTGAGCACTCAGAATTGATCTGAACAGCTAGTTGTTAATGCATTTCCTAATGTCTTTCTCTCCAGTCTGATGGAGAGGATGTTGGAATTGGCCGTAACGAAGGTTACCTTTGTTGCGATTTTCAGGGGGTCCTTGTTTTTTACCTGTTTAAAACGAGAGAGAGAGGGCGGAGGGCTGATATTACATGGCTAAAAGTAAATAAACCAAAGACAGAAGAAAAGAAAGAAACACAATAACAAAAGAATAAAAACTAGATAAGTAACACTACATTACATGAGTATATGTGGGATTGGATGTGTCATCTATAGAAAAAGACAAGGACTGGAAGGGCTTTATGCAGGGTACACTGACGGCTCGGTAATAAATATGCACAGTACACACATACATATGTTATGCAAACAAAAACTTTTATTTTGGATGCGATTAATCGCGATTAATCGTTTGACAGCACTAATTCAAATAGAAAACTATTTTAAGTTGTAATAATATTTTACAATATTACCGTTTTCACTATAAAATGGTATTGTTTTTTGATCAAATAAATGCAGCCTTGGGCTACGTCCACACGAAGCCAGAGCTTTCCCTATCCGATCTTTTTTTTTCCCCCTCGTGTCAAGAAATATCTGCGTCCACACGAAACCGACACAAAATGATGTAGTATACATGCCAGACCAGTATGTGGCGCTGTAATTCTGCCACAGAGATACACTAAAAATGGAGAAGAAGACTTGGACTATGCGCATAAACCTTGCTCGCTGTATACAAACGAACATGGAACAATGCATTTATTAATCTATGTTAATTTTAGTTAATAAAAAGACAATCGTTCAGTGTTTGTTCATGTTTTTGTTGCGGTTACGTGACGTAGCGGTGTCTGACTAGGGGCGAGACGTGGGCTGATGACGTCCTCGTTTAGAAAATATACGGATTCGCTGTCCACACGAAAACACAAGGGTGGCGTTTTCAGATTTATCCACTCTGGGACACGGTTTCAAAAAATATCGGTTTCACTCTCCCAAAACGCCGGATCCGTCTGGACGAAACGCCTATACGATACAAAGTTTAAGCGTATACAGCTAAACGCGTCTCTGTGTGGACGGGGCTTGTTGAGCATTCTTTTTAAAAACATTAAGAAAATCTTACCAACGCCAAACTTTTGAACTAATACTCATAAACATGCTCCAATACCAATATTTAGAAATCTTTTTTTAATTCACATTGTTCCTCGTTCTGGCAGGTGTGTGCCATGGCTACGGCCAAACTGAATGGTATCTTGCAAACGAAGACGGTGGACTCTCAGGACGAGGCCTGTTATCTTCTGGGCCGTGTGGAGGGAATCCTCAGGCGCTCTGTAAGCGAGGAGCGGACAGAGGAGACCTACTCGTTTTTAGTGCCTCTCCTCCGTACCCTCCTGTCTAAAGTCCACAAACTCCTGTACATGGAGCTGCACCTTCCTTCCCTCCCCGACACCAACGGAAGCCCGTCTTTCTTTGAGGACTTCCAGCTGTACTGCAGCTCTCCGGAGTGGAGGGTCTATTTGGATAAATATGTAAGACCTGTATTAATACACTAAATGGGGACAATTGTGATTTTAAGCTGGATGAAGTCTCAGAAGTATTTCTGATAGGTTTAACTAATAATACATAGTAGTAGTTGGTTGTTTCTGCTCTTCATTGCACCCTGTAGTTTGCAAATCTGAATTTTGTGCATCTGTTTTGTCAGATCATCCCCTACATGAAGCAATATGAGATCGAGACATTCAGTCAGGGTCATGAGAACATGGCTCTCTACTGGAAGGACTGTTATGAGGCATTCATGCTCAATCTGCACCGCAGGGACCGAGAGAGAGGAGAGAGCAAGATACGCTTTAAGGTACAAAACATCCACACACACTACTGTTCAAAAGTTTGGGGTCAGTGAGATTAATAAGAAATTAATACTTTTATTCAACAAGGATGCATTAATTTGATCAAAAGTGACAGTAAAGACATTTATAAAGTTGCAAACTATTTCAATTTCAAACTAATGCTGTTCTTTTGAACTTTCTATTTATCATAGAATCCTGAAAAAATGTGTCACGTTTTGCTCAAAAATGTGAAGCAGCAGAACTGTTTTCAGCATTGATAATAATCAGAAATGTCTCTTGAGCAGCAAATCAGCATATTAGAATGATTTCTGAAGGATCATGTGACACTGAAGACTGGAGTAATGATGCTGAAAATTCAGCTTTACATCACAGGAATAAATTACATTTTACAATATATTCAGATAGAAAACAAATATGTGAAATTGTAATCATATTTTACAATATTAGTGTATTTTATATCAAATAAATGAAGCCTTTGTGAGCATAAGAGACTTTAAAAACATTGAAACATTATTTCAAAAACTTTTGTACTGCAGTGTGTAGAATTTTCCTTCAAATTCACAAACATTTTCATGTCTCTCAAAAACCCTCAGGAGCAGTTTGTGGAACCGTTCAGTCGTCGAGGGCGTCAGGAGAACCTGAGGTACAATAGCATGCTGAAACAAATCCACACACAGAACAGCGCCATCCTCAGGCAGTGGAGGGCGGCACGCAGAGGACTCTTCTGTGAGAGAGGACCCTGGGTGGACAAGTGAGCGTTGTTTCTGTCTGTAAATGTCACTGAGACCAGGAGTGGAGAATGTTTGTACAGTGGAGGTGTTTAAGTTTAAAGAGGTTTTTGACTTTTAGATTAAAATCGGTTCTTTTTGCTAAAGAATAGAGATGTATGCATTTATATGACAATAATGCAATCCAATGTGTTTTTGCCAGGATGTAACAAATTAAAAGCTATTGGCTATTTAAAAAAAAAAAAGGTCTTTAAGGCAGCTGTTTGTGTTTGGCAGGCAGCAGATGGACATACACTGGAAGCTCTCTAGTGCTGAAAACTACTCTCGTATGCGACTCAAACTGGTGCGGAATTACAACTTTGACCCCCATAAAGAAGCCAGTGCCTTGAGAGATAACCTAGGTAAGACCTGTCACTTACAATCTTTTATGAATCATGTGCTGGGCAGTTTAGGAAGTAAGTGGTTTTGTGTGTGTGTGTGTGTGTGTGTGTTACTTCAGGTGTGCAGCACCAGCAGGTAAACGCCGAGTCACTGTTGTTAGAGGCGGTGAAACAGGTGAAGGTCAGTGATCTGGAGGATGACATCCTGGAACTCCTGGAGGAGGATCCTGCTTCGGCCAATCAGTGAGTCTCAGTTTAGACGGACAGGAGCAGTAGCCAATCACTGGAGCTAAATACAGAAACACACTTTTACTCAATAACCGGAGATGGGTAAAAAAAAAATAGTGTAAATTCTTTAAAACACCTTGAATAATGTTCTTTTATCTTTTAAAGGTAAATTTAGATTTTAGTTAAAAGATTTGATAAAATGATTTACGCCTTTATGGCTGTTTAAACGGCTTCGGCTGCTTACATTTTGATGTTAACATGTCAAGGTGTTTTTTCTGCATTATCAATTTCCATGTACAATACTGTTAAAGAGTTTGGGTCAGTAAGATTTTTTTTTTTATTGTTTTGAAAGAAGTCTCTTCTGCTCACCAAGGCTGCATTTACTTGATCAAAGCTACATTAAAAACAGTAATATTGTGAAATATTATTTCAATTTAAAGTAACTGTTTTCTATGTGAATTTTTTAAAATGCAATTTATTCCTACTGAATTTTCAGCATCATTACTCCAGTCTTCAGTGTCACATGATCCTTCAGAAATCATTCTAATATGCTGATTTGCTGCTCAAGAAACATTTCTTATTATTATCAATGTTGAAACAGTTGTGCTGCTTCATATTTTTGTGTAAACCATGATTTTTCAGGATTCTTTGATGAATAGAAAGTTCAAAAGATCAGCATTTCTTTGAAATAATTTTTTGTAAAATTATAAATCTCTTTGCTGCCACTTTTTAATGCATCTTCACTGAATAAAAGTATTCACTGTGCATGTAAACACACTCGATGTGGTTCTCTAAGGGCTGATTGTGAAGAGGCGGGTCAGAAGGAGAAGCTGGTGATCTCAGAGGACTGTGAGCTGGTCACGGTGGTAGACGTCTATCCGGGTCGCCTGGAGCTCACCACACAGCACATCTACTTCTACGACAGCAGCGCAGAGAAAGAGGAAGGTGAGGTACAGAGGAATATCCAGCAGTGTGAAGGCCGTATGTATGAGGATAGAGATGAGACTGATGTTCTGCATTTTCAGGTGTAGGTCAGGACTTCAAATGGCCTCTGTCTCAGATCAGAGAGATTCACCTGCGCAGGTACAACCTCCGGCGCTCGGCTCTGGAGATCTTTCTCATCGACCAGACCAACTACTTCCTGAACTTCAAGAAGGAGGTCGGGAATCTTACAGCATGTTTCTCATCTTTTTTCTCTCTGTCCTACATGAACATAATTGTAACACAGTTCGTAGTTCGGGAAGGAGGAGGCGGGAACCGGTGAACGTTCAAACAAAACTTTAATAATAAAATAAACACAAAACACTCGTCACAATAATGTTACATGCAAACTCTTAAAACTGCTTTATAATAAGCTAATATTTGGTTTTTGTTTTGTTGTACATGTAAACACACTCATTGGGTCTCATTCACTAAGAATTGAAGGAATTATTCATACTTATGCACACAGGAGAACTTTCTGCTTAATTTGCAATTGCTTTTCTTTCTCTTTTGTAATTCGCTTTGGATAAAAGCGTATGCTAAATGCATAAATGTACATGAATTTGTTTTTAACCTCATTCTAATGTTAATAATTTGGAGTTTTCTTTGAGTATTCTAAATGAGTGACAAATATCTATTTGCAAGTATGTGATTTGTGCATACATGTAGTTTCAGTTATTCCTATATTTTTTGTAAATTTAGAATACCTTTTTGTGTGAAACATTATTGATCAATCAGCTTTTTTAAATATGTCTATATAGTTTTCATTAATTTTTATTTCAGTTTTAGTTTTAATACATCAAAATAAACTAAATGAAAACGATGATGCCGTGGCAACTAGCTGAAATAAAATATATATATTTTTTATTTTATATTTTATTTTAAGTAACAAAAATTGTTGACTTGTTTAGTCAGATTTTGCCAGAAAAGATTTTAGATTTTTTTTAATCATATGTTAATTGAAAAAAAAAAAAAATCTTGTATAATTTTAACTGCTGTTTTTGTGTTTGCTTGGTTTTTATTTTGTTTATGTACCTCTTGAATTTTTCAAACTCAGTTTTTGCCATGAAGATAGCCTTAGATGCTGACATGGCAATAAAAATAAATAACTACTAGTACTACTACTACAAAAATAGTTTTATGCTTTTAGCTTTACTTAACTATGATAACCCTAGATTTCACATGCAAATGTGTGCGTATACACAGTTAGTGAATCAGACAGTTGCTATTTGTTAACTTTCCCACCTTCTTTCGTGTAGTCTCTCATGATTGGTTGATTCTGTTTGATTGACAGGTGCGTAATAAAGTGTACAGTCGGATGCTGCTGCTGCTGCGTTCTCTCTCTCTTCATGCCACTCACTCACCGCAGGAGCTGCTCAAAGCCTCTGGACTCACACAGGTCACTGCACACATGAAGCATCTCGGTTTCATATAGTACAACACTGAAGGTTCAGAGCTGACTTTACCTTCTCTCTGTCATCAGAAATGGATGAACAGGGAGATCTCAAACTTTGACTACCTGATGCAGTTGAACACCATAGCAGGACGGACGTATAATGATCTGGCTCAGTATCCTGTGGTGAGTGACATTTACACAGCCGCTCTCAGTTCTGTTTGAACCACAGTGTGGGCACACATCAGCGCTCATTCGCTTCCTGAGTGATCTTTCTCTGCTGATTTTAGTTCCCCTGGATCCTGTCGGATTATACGTCCGAGGAGCTGGATCTGTCCGATCCGCGGGTGTTCAGAGATCTCTCTAAACCTGTGGCCGTGCTGAACGAGCGGAACGCCAAAGCCGTCAGAGAGAAGTGTGTTTCTGTCCCTGTCTTGTTCTCTCAGTCCTTTTAGTTTTATTCCAGTTTAACACTTTTCCATTCCCTAGTGAGATGCCTACCTAGGCAACATTATACTAAATATTATACATTATACTAAATACAGTAGCATGTATCAGTTACAGATAACGCAATCCCAGAATGCACGTAGAGTTTTGTAACTCATAGTGGAATCTTGATTATAAGCAAACTTTGTTCAGCACTGAAAAGTTTCATTAACCTGAGATTTAAAATACATTATTTCATCCGTTATTTGTATTTACAATGTATTTGTATGTGTCATTATATACTTTGAGCATCAAGCCTCTTAAATAATTTTTTTTAGTATTATTTTTATACTATTATTATACTATACTTATACTATTATAATATAGTTTTCAATTTTATATTTTTGTTTTTAGTTTAAGGTTTAGTAATTTGATTTTAAATTAATTTTTTTTAAATTTCTTTAATTTATTTTTATTTCCATTTTAGTTTTAGGAATTTTAGTACTTCAAATTAAACTTATTTCAGTTTGTTGTCAAGGCAACATTTCAATTTCTTTCTAATTTTTTTCATTTTATATTTTATTTCAGTTACCAAAAGCAAATTTTGTTTTTTTTCCCGCTATAAAAATTAACAATTTTTATTGTTTTTCAGGCACTTTTCAGAATACAACCTAATGCATCTGTACAATATCAAGAAACCAAAAGCAATTTTTAATAGTCTTAGTTTTAAACCCTAAACACTGGTCCCTTAGAAGGTAGCTTCCTGTTTAACAGTGAAGCAGTTCACAAGGTTTTGAAAGTTTGAATTGATTTAGTGTCAGCGGTGAATGCAGCTGATGTGTGTAAATGAGGCTGATTGTAAATGATGTTTAATCTGCAGATATGAGAGTTTTGAAGACCCCACGGGCACCATAGACCGTTTCCACTACGGCACGCACTACTCGAACGCTGCTGGAGTCATGCATTACCTCATTCGAGTCGAACCCTTCACATCCCTGCACGTCCAGCTGCAGAGCGGCAGGTAATGCTCGTCTGGTTTTACGTCTTTTTTCTCTCACTATCTTTCGTCCCTTTCTCTTGTGTCTTTCTATCAACCAAATCATAATTATTTGTATTTTGTATGCTGTAAAAAGAAGTGGTTCCTGAAGTGAAATTCATTTAAAGGCCTCTATTATAGGGTTTAAATTTTCTTGCACTAAAATCAGGATCATTTCAGTATTTCATGAGCATTTTCCACCCTCTCTCTGACCCTTAGAATTAAACAGCCTGTTTCTGCTAATGTACCTTTATGATTTCTTCAAGCAAACGGCCTCTGTTATGATTGGCTATTGATTGATTGATATTTAAACATGGGCAATCATATGTAAATGTGTTTAGTGCTCTTACATCATATCCTCTCAAAATCCTGTTTTCATTATATGAATAAAGTTGGTCTGGCTGTCTGTGGCAGGTTTGACTGTGCTGACCGTCAGTTTCACTCCATTCCTGCTACCTGGCAGACCCTCATGGACAATCCCAACGACGTCAAAGAACTCATCCCAGAATTCTTTTACTTCCCAGAGTTCTTGGAGAACCAGAACGGTGAGCAGAAGCAGCAGAGTGAAATAAAGACCGGTTGAGCTAGTGTTGCCGATAAAAGGGTTAGTTCACCCAAAAATGAAAATTCTGTCATTAATTACTCACCCTCGTGTTGTTCCAAACCCGTAAGACCTTCGTTCATCTTCGGAACACAATTTAAGATATTTTTGATGAAATATAAGGACTCTCTGACCCTCCCATAGACAGCAAGGTAACTACCACGTTCAAGGTCCAGAAAAGTACCAAGATGATCGACAAAGTAGTCCGTGTGACATCAGTGGTTCAACTGTAAAGTTACATTGCTACAAATATACCCCAGCGACTTAAGACTGGTTTTGTGCTCCAGGGTCACAATTTATCTTAAAAATCATGTTTAATCTGTAGTAACGGTAACACTTTACGATAAGGTTTATTAGTTAACATTAGTTAACTACTTTAGTTCACATGAACTAAGCATGAACAATACTTCTAACGCATTTATTAATCTTAGCTAATGTTAATTCCAACATTTACTAATGCATTATTAAAATCAAAAGTTGTGTTTGTTAACAGTAGTTAATGCACGGTGAATTATCATGAACTAACAATGAACGACTGTATTTTCATTAATTAACATTAACAAAGATTAATAAATACTGTAATAAATGTATTGTTCATTGTAACTAATTAACTAATGGAACCTTATTGTAAAGTGTTACCATAGTAACATTAGGATTTAAGGTCACACTTTACAATAAGGTTCCATTTTTTTTTTTAAAGTTAACTACATTAGTTAACATGAACTAACAATGTAAAATACTTTATTGCATTTATTAATCTAAGTTCATGTAAATTTCAACATTTGTAAATACATTATTAAAAAATGGAATTGAGCTAACATGAACTAGTAATGAACTGTTGCATATACAATTTAAGATATTTTTGATGAAATCTGAGGGCTCTCTGACCCTCCCATAGACAGCAAGGTAACTACCACGTTCAAGGTCCAGAAAAGTACCAAGATGATCGACAAAGTAGTCCGTGTGACATCAGTGGTTCAACTGTTAAGTTATGACGCTACGAGAATACTTTTTTGCGCAAAGAAAACAAAAATAACGAATATATTCCACATTTTCGTCTCTACTGCGTCACTTTGGACACGCGTTCACGACAGTATCATGACGCGAGCGTGTGGCGGCGCTGACCCAGATCCGGCATGATGACGCAGTAGAGACGAAAATGTGGAATATAGTCGTTTTTTTGTGCAAAAAAGTATTATCGTAGCTTCGTAACTTTACAGTTGAACCACTGATGTCACACGGACTACTTTGTCGATCATCTTGGTACTTTTCTGGACCTTGAACGTGGTAGTTACCTTGCTGTCTATGGGAGGGTCAGAGAGCCCTTATATTTCATCAAAAATATCTTTAATTGTGTTCCGAAGATGAACGAAGGTCTTACGGGTTTGGAACAACATGAGGGTGAGTAATTAATGACAGAATTTTCATTTTTGGGTGAACTAACCCTTTAAGCTGAAATAGGAGAATAATGTAAATGTAAAAAACAGAAAACTTCTGTCTAAAAAATATAAAATATGTGAGAAACTGAATAATTTCAGTCTGTTTCTATTGTGTTAGGGGTTCATTTGACCCACATATTATGTTCAAAATTGGCTGTACAGACACACAAAAAAGTTTTTTTTTTTTTGTTATGACTACTCTTTGCACACTCAGGTGCAAATAACCACATGCAAGAATAAATAGTATCTAACATTATTTGTACTTAGTGTAAGTAGTATTTATTGCTATTTGTAAATTCCACTGATTTTTATCGTCTGGTTCTCAAACCCTTGTGAGGGTAAAATACGTTTCTCACAATGAGATCCAAAACACTTAACAACCATAAACATCCTTTGGCAGAGTTTTTTGACTGTGAAACTCACCTAGATAAATTAACAGTGAATTTTCCTTTGGTAATTCAGAAGACGAGTCTTCTTTTAAGTAAACGTTGAGTTTTAAATGTATGCAGGTTCTCATCTATTTCATATTTTAGTGTTTGACAAGCTACAAAAAGGTTTTCTCTTTTTCTGTTGTTGTTTTTTTTTCCCATCTGATTCTTTACTGTTTTTCAGAGTTGATTTTTGGCACATTGCATAGAAACCAATGGGGGGGGTCAATATGACCCCAACAAATTATACAGCCTTTCTAAAACACATCTGTGTCAAAACCTTGCAAGCACATTCATGACCATAAATCAGCAATATTCGCAAAATTTCAAGTAACCAGTGTTTCATTGTGTCTCATTCTCTCTCTAATTGGTGTAGGATTTGACCTGGGTCGCTTGCAGATCTCTAAAGAGAGGGTAAATGATGTCATCCTGCCAAAATGGGCCAAATCCCCCGAGGACTTCATCTACAAGCACCGCAAAGCCCTGGTGAGCCCTTTTCTGAGGACCTCTTCACAGCTCTTCCCCACTAACCTCAATAGAAAGCCTCCAGGGAGGGATGTGTAATTGAATACAGCCCGCTCTCAGTATCTGTTTCTGTTCTTCTTCTCAATTCCTTTGCCACTTCTGTCCTATTAAAGCCCGAAGCAGTCAGAAATGGCTTCGTGAAAGGTTACAAAACTAGAACGACAGAAGAGTCTTTCCCAGACTCCTTCTGGTGGCAGATTCCTCTCATAATGACTGACGGCCTCAGGTCTAATGTTAGAGAAATACTGGTTTGGAAGTGTATCATGTGACTATTTCTTGATGTAGATGATGTGGGCCTGTTTTCAGGAATCTGAGTATGTGTCGGCCCATCTGCATGAATGGATCGATCTGATCTTCGGCTATAAACAGAGGGGCCCGGCTGCAGTGGAGGCGCTTAATGTCTTCTATTACTGCACATATGAAGGTATGTCCTTCATACAAGTCATGATGTGGCTGACATCCTTTGCTACCATACTTGAGGAACATTAATTTGGTGGATATTTTGTTATTTTATGAGTTTTGCAAAGACTTAATTTGACTACAAATACAGCTTATAAAATGTTTAAACTTTCTTTTTCATTGCAAGAAACAGTAAATAATGTTTTTTTTTTTAAATAGTTGCATTGATCTGGCCGTCGTAATAAAGCACCATCTGAGTACTAATACCACAACTACTGAGCTAGAACTGTTGGAACTTTATGTGCCACTGTAAAAATAATTTAATAACACGTTAACAAATATTGTTGTGCTAAACCTAATTTAAACATTTAAAGTTTCGTTAAATTGTAGATCTATAAACTGCCGTTTTGTAAAGATTAGTTAAATATTGTGGTATAATGTTCTTTAAACTAGTGTTGTTATTGTTAACTAAAACTATTACATTTTAGTACACATTATTTGTTAATTGAAATAAAGTTGAAATAAAACAAACTAAATATTAAAAGAAAAACTTAAACTTGGAAAAAAAAAAGAAGAAAATTAGAAATGTTGCTTTGCCAGTACTTTAGTAGTACTAAAGTTACTAAAACTAAATCTGAAATAAAATAAAAACAGTTTATTTCAGTAGTTAAATATTGTGGTAAATAACTGGTGTTTTTATTGTAAACAAATTATTGCTTTTAGTACACATTATTTGTTAATTGAAATAAAGCTGAAATAAATATTAAATGAAAATGCGAACTTAAAAAAAAAAAGAAAAAAAAAAGAAAATTAGAAATGTTGCTTTAGCAGTACTAGTACTAAAGTTTCTAAAAGTAAATCTGAAATAAAGCTAAATAGAAAAAAGAACAGAAAACCACATAACAAAATTACTTAAACTCAAACAAAAAATATAAAAATAAACTTTTATAAATAAATATTATACTAATATATTTATATTAAATATTTATAAACACTATAATAATACTAAAATAAACTGTTTTAAGCTGCAGCCTTGAACCTGACAACTAATTTCATACATAGCTGTGCTAGTTTTTTCTGATCTCCATTTGTTCTTACATAATGACAATTTCTACTCGTATCAGTATTTTATGTCTACTATTTATTTATTTCATAAGTAGCCATGTAAAAAACAGGATAATGATGTCTCAGCCAATCATTATCACAAAAACTGAGCCTTTCAGGCTTATAGAAGACTTCTCTTTCATATCAAGGTGAGTCTTCTTCACCCTGCTGGGGTTTATTTTGAGATCACGACTGACTGACTCTACATTATCACTTGTGTTTATGGTGCAAATAGTTTTTATCTACATTTAAATGCAGCAAAATGAAACTGTCTGTGGTTGTTTTAGGGGCTGTTGATCTGGACGCCATTACAGATGAGAAGGAGAGGAAGGCTCTAGAAGGCATGATCAGTAACTTTGGACAGACCCCGTGCCATTTACTGAAGGTGCTTCTGCACACACACGGACAGTGTTCTCTTGAATGGAGATCATAAGATGACATAAACATGAGAGAGTTTGTTGTTTGATAAGATGTTATGTGTTAATGTGCATTTAGGAGCCCCATCCCGTGCGTCTCTCTCTGGAGGAGCTGGAGAAGAGGAGATCTCGTCTGGACTCCTGTCCTCTCAACATATTCCAGCACCTCACTGAACTCAAATCCTTCTTCATTGAGGTGACTGAATTAGCAGTGCTTTATGTGTTTGTCCAGATGTTGTTCTGTGGACTGATGGAGTTTCATCTCTGTGTTTTAGGGCATCAGTGATAATGTGCCACTGGTTAAAGCCGTTGTCCCCAAGAACCAATCACATTCTTTTATCTCACAGGGGAGTCCAGATACTCTGGTAAGTCTGGGCTTGATTAGTCAAGACACACAACATCAGAATAGACCCTATTTTTATTTATTAATTTTTTTAATTAATGTCCCTAATCATGTTGCGCACAATCAATTGGTGCACATTGTGATTTATTATATAAAATAATAATATTTATATACTGTAAACACAACCATAACATATATAAAATAATTTGTATTCATAATTTTAAAGGAATATATATATATATAATTATGGTAAGCAGCCATGTAATAAGTGAGATAATAATACACATTACTGATCACTCAGGATTTTTATTACTATCCCTGGGCATAATTAATCAATGCACATTGTAATAAATTATATAAATATTTGGGTTATCAAGGTAACGCTGAGCCAGAACGGCTTGATGGGAACTCACGGCTGGCTGCCCTATGACAAGAACATATCCAACTATTTCACCTTCATCAAAGACCCCACCGTAGCCGGTGTAAAGTGAGTCTCTCTGACGTCTAACATCTTCCTGTTTATAGCTGCCCTGCACTTCCTTTAACATAACCAACGCATCCACAATCACACACTCTCTCTCTGTAGGACTCAGAGGTTTCTAGCAGGGCCGTTCTCTCCAGGGGTTGAAGTCACAGCTCGCCTGTTTGTTGTGTCTCATGACGGGAAGTTGCTCTTCAGTGGAGGCCACTGGGACAACAGCCTGAGAGTGACGTCACTCGTCAAGGGCAAAACAGTGGGGCAGCACATCCGCCACATGGGTACTGGAAACTGCCTTTTTTTCCGCTTCTTTCTTTCTCATGAATAGGCACATCCAGATTGTACTGTATGTTCTAACTTTAACTTTGAACTGCAGGAAACAAATCTGCTAACTTTGGAAATTTGTGTGTGTCTATATTTTTCAGACATTGTAACATGCCTGGCCACAGATCACTTTGGGATTCACCTGATCTCTGGCTCTAGAGACACCACCTGTATGGTGTGGCAGGTGCTACAGCAGGTATGTTCTGCTCTCTTGGAAAAGTCACATGATCTGTCGTCTTCAAATGACTTCCTATAGATGGTTCATTCCTAAATATGAAGCATTTTATTGTACCAATCAGGTGTTTATTGTATATACACTACTGTTCAAAAAATGTGGTTAAAATGTTTTTGAAAGTGTCTTCTGCTCACCAAGGCTGCATTTATTTGATACAGTAAAAACAGTAATATTTTGAAATATCATTACAATTTAAAATAACTGTTTTTTATTTAAATATATTGTAAAATGTAATTTATTGCTGTGATCAAAGCTGAATTTTCAGCATCATTACTCCAGTCTTCAGTGTCACATGATCTTCAGAAATCATTCTAATATGCTGATTTGCTGCTCGAGAAACAGTTCTCATTATTATCAATGTTGAAAACTGCTGCTTCATATTTTTGTAGAAACTGTGATTCATATTTTTCAGGATTCTTCGAATTAAAAATTGAAAGATTAAAATTCAAGATAGTGATATTTAAAGATAGAGATGGCATTGTTCATTTTTTTTAATAATAGCATAATTAATTTAACATAGGGATGAATTTTAAATAATAGTGAGTGGATGAGTGGATCTTATAACACAAACTGGGAATTTTACAAGAAACATTTCAGGAGCTTCTTCCTTAATTTAACATTCTTAGGAATGTTGTTTTAATTGATAATGTTCTTTTGAAAACTACCACATCACTTGTGTTAAATAATATAATGAATCAAGTTTTTATTCTCTACTCGTATAAAGAGGAGCTTTTTAGGTAACACTGTATTTTAAGGACTTGCTATTTACTTGTTGCTTATTAGCATGCATATCACTAGCATATTGGCTGTTTATTAGTACGGTACTTATATACCACATATTAATGTCTTATTCTGCATGAGCATATTTTAGATCCCTTAAACCTACCCCAAACCTAAACTTAACAACTACCTTACTAACTATTAATAAGCAGCAAATCAGGAGTTTATTGAGGCAAAAGGCACAGTTAATAGTGAATATGTGTTCTTTATTCTAAAGTGTTTCCGGTTTTTATTTCTGCTGCAGTGTTGGGAGTCTGTTTAACTTATTCTGTTTTTGTAGGGTGGTGCTCCGGTGGGTCTGTCCCATAAGCCGGTGCAGGTGTTGTACGGACACACAGATGAAGTTGTGAGTGTGTCTATCAGTACAGAGCTGGACATGGCGGTCTCTGGATCACGGGTGAGACTCGACTCTCTCACAATCTATTTCTCACACTTGTTCAGTATTAAGCAACCTGACAGTGGCATTGTGCCTCATTTCAAATTAAAAAGGTTAGCCAATAATAATATAGCTCATTTACATATAGCATTCTTAAAGGGTTCAAAGTTGTTTGGGTGGATTTCAGGGAAGAAAAAAAGGTGATACAAGAATGTAATCAGCAGTTTGTGTGTGTCACAGGATGGGACGGTGATCATTCACACTGTTCGGAGGGGTCAGTACATGCGCTCTCTGCGGCCGCCGTGTGAGAGCTCTCTGCCCGTGTCCATCATGCACCTGGCTGTGTCCTGGGAGGGACATCTAGTGGTGCACACCTGCGTAGAGGGCAAAGCCACACTGAAGGTATCAAACACACAGTTCAGTTCCCCTTCTCCGCACACATTTCTGTGCCCGTGTAAACCGATCCTCTTTGTGTTTTGTGTGTGTTCAGGATAAGAACGCCCTGCACCTGTACTCTGTGAACGGGAAGCACCTGTGCAGCGCTCCTCTGAAGGAGCAGGTGACAGACATGTGTGCTTCAGGAGAGCATGTCATCATCGGCAGCGAGCAGGGTTTCCTGTCTGTCCGAGATCTCTACAGGTAAACCATAATCTTCTGCTTTTTCATATTATAATATGCATCACAATAATGGCATTTTTTAAAAAGACACTTGCATTGAAGGAGGAATCATATGTAGAGAGCCGAGTATCAGTAATACTATACAATGCAATGGGGCCACTTTTTCAGCGGCCTTGATTCTGGAAGTGTTTTTTCCATTTATTTTTACCATTAGGATTTAAAAAAAGTCTTTTAAAAGTTTTAAACTATGAAATAAACCAACCAGCTACAAGGTGAATCACATTACAAACTTTGATTTCAAGCAAACAAGCATTTGAAAATCAGAGACTGATATTAACGGCTTTAGTGTGGGAAAAAAAAAAGTGAAATAAAAACGATATTTTATTTATTGCGAAATATATAGATGTTTAAGAGCATAGGAGGAAGGATGGAAATGGGTGGGCACTAAAGAGCTTTTCTTTCCGCAATTAGCTTGTTGCGATGTTTATTACATATATACGAACAATATCTTCTCTATTTATAAAATATGTAAATACACACAAATATTTAAGTAGTCTGAGAACATTGGAGACTGACTCTATTTAGTCATTTGCAGTGCTTATGGTAGTGAGTTGATGGTAAAGTGTTCTTTTGGCATGATTAGTTTATCACAATTCTCTGATGTTGATTATGTACATAGAAACAATATATTTAATGTTTATTGCAAAATATGCACATGCATACAAATATTTAAGTAGTTTGAAAGCACAGGAGACGGACTCTGCACCATTCTCAGTGCTTCACGGGAGTGGTTGGGCACTAAAGATTTTTGACGTGATTTGCTTGTCATGATTCTCTGATTTCTTAGCAGAATAAGAATCTCACCAGGAATTCTACTGTTAAACACCATTATTTAAAAAATAAGTTGCAAAAGTAACAAAAGCATTTACCATCGATTAACAGCTCATAGTCAGTCTGTCTTTAATGGTTTAAGTTTTTTTTAAAAGTCAATTACCGTAAATTAATGGGATTTTTACTTCCGGAATTCGACTGTTGCACTCGATTAAAGGGATAGTTCACCCAAAAATGAAAATTCTGTCATCATTTACTCACACTCAAATTGTTTAAATGGTTAGTTCACCCAAAAATGGAAATTAGCCCATTATTTACTCACCCTCAAGCCATCCTAGGTGTATATGACTTCCTTCTTTCAGACGAATCCAGTCGGAGTTATATTAAAAATTGAGTTTGATCTTCCACGCTGTTTAATGGCAGTCTATGAACTATCCCTTTAAAATCTGTATGAATTTTTTTTTATTTATTTTTTTGCTGAGCACAAAAGAAGATATTTTGAAGAGTGTTGGTAATGGAAAAAGTACGATGGATGTCAATGGGGATCTGAAACTGTTTGGTTACCAACATTCTTCAAAATATCTAATTTTGTATTCAACAAAAAAAAGAAAGTTATACAGGTTTGGACAAAACTTGAGGGTGAGTGAATGATGACAGACTTTTCAATTTTTGAGTGAACTGTCCCTTTAAGGATGCCTAAGGATTTGTATCATTGCATTTTATGATGTTGTCGTCAGATTGTAAGTATGAAGGTCTGTTCCTTGAACTTGATCCTAACACGCCCTCTCTCTTGGTTACCATGGCAGCCTGGCTCTGTGTGTGTCGCCGACGGCGATGCGGGTGCCCATCCGCTGTGTGTCTGTGACCAAGGAGCAGTCTCACGCTCTGGTGGGACTCGATGACGGCAAGCTGATCGTGGTGGGCGTGGGGAAACCTGCGGAGGTAAAAAACTCCTTCAGGAACTACATCACGCAGAGGATGGAGGGCTCACCTCTCATGAACACGCTGCGTGTGCGGTCGCCCGCACGCCTGCTGCATCTCAGAGACCAGAACACGTTCAGCCCCAACATCATCTGAGAGAAATATATACACACTTACCAGATGTCAAACTCGGATACATAAAGTTCTCACGTTTACCTAGCTATCTAAGTGGAGACTACAGATTAATCCGAACCCAAAACCGTAACTCTTCCTCTAAAAGAATAGATTTTAAAAATAATGATTTATTTATTTATTAATCATTTATTTTTTGAATTCAGTGTTTTCCGAAATGTGAAGTAACTGATGCTGGATTATTATTAGTATTAACATTATATTAATATTTCATTTTTAAAAAAATATCACGGTTATTGTCAATACCGGCACATTGCGATACTTTTACTCCGAGAACATACTGTACTTTTTCATTCACCACATTGCCATAATGAGCGCTATAATGACATTAGCATGAACTGTCTTCTTCTGCCATCACTTTTCTCTTTCTGAGCAAGTCAACATTAAGCACTCTTGACATATAGCTACTTCCTTGAAATATCGCACATCATTTGATATAAACTCTACCGCCGCCTTGAGTTCTGAGATTAGTTAAGGTGAAAGTAGTCTCTGCCTCAGACAGAAAAATGGAAAACACTGATTCAATTTGCCAGTTTCAATCTGCAACACATTTGTGCAACGGGACCACAAGCTTACAATGCATTCGCCAGGAATCTGTGTTTTGCATACTTGTGTAGAGCATGTTTCTGGCCTAAGATGTCAGTTCAGACTTAAAGCGTTTGTATACTCACATAGTCAGTACATACAATTACACAGCCCTGCATCTTGGAAAAAAAATCTGCTGATTTGCAAAATACGGCATAATATTGCGTAATTTGATTATGCTGAATTCAAAAATATCACTAACAATTTTCCATCATGTACAGTTTTTTCACAAAATAAGAATAAGGATTTTTCAAATGATATATTTATCAGCTTTACCAAAATAACGCTTAACACAGTCAAGTGTCAAAGGCTTCGGGTTTAATGACAAAAGAAGTATTCTTACAGTAACTTACAGTCTGGAAAGGAGTGAACAAATATGTTCAAATACTCCATTTAATGTCAAAGAACTTTACAAAATAAGCTTAACAAAATGGGTAATTTTCTGTGGCTGTTTGGATGTAGTAAAACACCCACAGATGTAGAAGAAAACATCTGGCTCATCTGTCAATGGCCATAGTTCTAACCTTGACATCAAAATAATGTCTTCAGAATAATTCATGCATGCGAAAATTGGCTGAGAATTGAACAAATAGTTGTAACCTGGCTTGAGTCAGAGGAAGATATGAATTATGTACCACACTTCTTCACCTTACAAATGGTTGTCAAAAGCAAAGATGCTACAAAATTCACATATCTTGTGAGAAAATGTGATGTGCTAGAACAGAACCGGCACTGTTTTTGGAATCAGCAGCCCAAAATTAGTTCGAAACAAGCGTTGGATTTCATTCAGCAAACATGATGCAGGGCAGTGTTAACATTTCCTTATCTCATCTTCTTTTTTTGAACCTCACTTAAAATGTACATTTAGATTTTGCACTAACCTCAACACAGATGATCTCACATGCACTCATCAATCATCTTTTTCCCCCCCACTGTTCACCTCCTCTTTACTTTTATCCTTCACTTCCCTCTCCTCTCCGTTCCTCAGATGCGTTCTGGCCAGATTACGAGGAAACTGTGGGGCTCCAGTAAACGTCTCACTCAGATCTCGTCTGGAGAAACAGAGTATCACACCCAAGAGCAGCCCTGACCCCGCCCCCCCTCCTGCCTGATTGGCCCACTGCCCTGTCAGTCACCCAAAACCATTGTTTCAGTTTGGAGGATGGCTCTCTCCTCTTGCTGAAACAATAAGGACTTTTTTTAGCACCTGTATGCAAATCTGTGTGTGTGTTGAGCCAAACGGATGCGTGTTCCCTCGTGTAGTTGGACTGGTGCAGGCACCATTTAACTACACGTGTCTGAATTCTGTGAAAACCCTAATGTTGACCCTCCTGACTCCGCCCTCTCTGTCGTTTTCCACCACATATGCCACGCCCATTTAGTTAATCATCATTAACACACAGTTATCATCATCAGCAGCAGCATTACAGAGTGTTTTTATCACGTCTACGTTCACATGTGCATCAGGTTTGATGTGTTTTTGTAGTACGTGTCCAGTTACTCATTTGTTTCTTAGTGGCCTTGTCATATTTAATGACTTTCAATGGTGATGTTTTATTAGTGGACACAGGCATTATTTATTTGCACAGTCTTGCTCTTGCACAGACCTCGAAAAGTGGATGATAATTTACACCAGTATAATTCACAATATGTATGACCTATTCTGTTCCAGTAGACCAACACATTTGATCACAAAACTGACATGTGACACTGATTTTTATTGTGCGTAACTGTTGAATGTTGTCATTCGTTACTTGAATTGTGATGTAGTTATTTCAATGAAGAATGCAAGATTTCATTTTGTCGTGGATGTACATGCAAACAGTTTTACAGCCGATCTACACTTTGATTTATAGATTTGTTGCATCTGAAGGTTTTGTTTGATAAAGCACTACAAATACAAAGGGGGAGGAGTTTCGAAGGGCTTTCGACAGTAAGCAATACAGTTTTGTCATTCCACAGGCTAATCGCTGCTCCGCAGTCTTCCTAGTATCCAAACCGAGCACTACATAGAGAGGAGGTACTTGTGTACAGCTAGAACCAATGCAGCATAATTCGATAGTCAGGTGAGACGCTGTTTCCCCTCCTCTTTTATATTTCTAAGCCATGCAGTCTTGGTTTACTACGCAGGTAAACTTCCAGGCCTTCTAGAGAATTCACAGTTACTGATTGACATCTGAATTCTGATCCTCCATATGCAGTTTTTTGATTTCTTCAACGTAGGCTCCAGATACACGTGTTTCCCTTACAAGAATGTACCATAGTAAACATAGGTTTTGGCAAAATTCCTTTATTATAGTCACAACTGTGAAGGATCTCCTTCGAACTGCTTCAGAAGCCTTTTGCATTTGTTAATATCAAATTACTACACTTGCACAATAACATAATAACTGGCATTTTAGTGGAAGCTATCATCACCATGGTGTTTTTTTAAAATAAGGGTTTAGTTTGTTTTTGTTTAGGTCTCATTTTCTTACACTAATGTCTTTCTGAGTGACAACATTAATTCCTTTACTAAAGGACAGTTGTTTTGAAACTTATATAAGTGATCAGTAATATGAAGATGTTAATGAAGATACTAATACCAAAATGCAGATGTCTTTATCAGGATGTTTTGTGTGTTGTATGTTCTTCCATATATGTGCTTTAGTTTGCAATGGTGCTGAAGTTTAGATTTGAAGTCTGAATCGGGATGAGATATGTTTTATTTCCTATCACAAAGTGCTCCCTGCATCTGCTGGCTGCTTTGGAAATAAGTTCTAAATTAATGCTTTGATTTCTTTGCATTTATTATTTTTTAATCCTGTATTTTTAGACTCTTTTTTTCTTAAACCGGAGATCCCCGAGGTGACTGTTTTTATTCACATATCTATTTGTATGTATGTTTTTCTTCCTTTAATTAAATGAATGGAGTGCCTTTTTTTATTCTGTCGTCATGCAAATTAGTCTCCATGATCTGAACTCTGTAGCATGACCTTTCGTGACCCCTGTGGACAGCCACGGTTTCTACGGGAACCAGATAAACTTCAGCAGTGACTCCTCCATCGTATCAGACCTGTGACTTACTGAGCTGCTTTTATTTTAGCCGTCACTAATGGACGTGTGTGTGTATATCTGTGCTTATTTATGAATCCAGTATGAAATGTACAGCATGAATTTTATTTCTGTTTATGAATTGTATTTTTTTGCACTTTCCAGGTACGACAAATTGTAAGAGATTGTTTTAAATGTCTGCTTGATCTGTACAGAGAAACTGCTTTGTTATACGTGAAGATTTATCATTAAAGCCCTGTTGAAAAGTCACAGTGACATGTTTTCTTTAATAAGTTTTTTCAACTGAATAATTTATTTGTTGTTTAACATGATAGCATTAAAATTTGACATAGTGGATCTTTACACTATCACATATCATTTTATTTGGAAGTCACAGTGTATGCTTCTGTGTGCATCATTAGATTTTAATGAAAAATAAAATCACAAATATATTTTAGTGTGAAACAGAACCATGTCTGATATGCAAATCCATGATTTGAAGTTTAATTTGTATTTTTAAAATATATTACAAACGAGTAAAAAAAAGAACATTAGAACAATACAAGGGTATATGTCACAAAATAAAATAACTGATTACATTATTAAAGAGATTATAAGGACAAGTGTTCCTATTGCTCAGTTTTATTTTATTTATTTTTTTATTTTTTTGTGAACAGGTTCTGGCAATATACGAGCCAATGTAATAATCAAATGTATTCAAATAATTAAGACAAAAGTTAAATTATTTTTAAATGAAACCTACTTTCATATAGTATCTGTTGTGTAAAGTGTGACGATGCTGCCTTCGCACTGCAGCGGCCCCTTTAAGAAACTCTCTGGAAGTGTGTGCTGCGGCGGGCTCTCGCGAGATTTGCCCGCGAGAGTAAACAGTCGCCATTTCTGGAAAGTAAGAAAGAGCTGAAAGTGTGGCGGACCGTTCGTTCACATCCGCACAGAAGCCAACCCCGATAAGTCCTAAATTGAAGACCGCGTCTAAGCTTCCCGTTACCGTCTGTCTTCCCTGGCTGGTGTACAACCACATGTGATATTGCAGTCGGAGTTTATGAGGGCGGTGAGTGAGTGATTGAGGCCTGACAGTACACACACTAACTTACATCCTGACCAGACTGTAAACTCACTGCTGTTGGTCACTCTCATAGGGGCATAACTGCAGAATAAACAGCCCTCCTCTGAAAAATGATAATTGAAAACCTCGATGCCTTGAAGACATGGCTCTCGAAGACTCTTGAACCCATGTAAGTGATGCTGCTGCACTGTGCATTAAAATGATGCTAACACAATGATTAAAATCTTCCTGAATGTCAGTGGCTTTAGTTATGTATGAGTTTATTATTGACTAATGCATTGACTCTTTTTGTGTGTTGGTTTGAAATTGTATTAACTAAAATGCTTGTACATGGTTATCCTAGTAATCAATCACGAGTTATCAGCAATTGTATCTATTATACAGCTGTACTAATTTTACTGTAAAGATGTTGTAGGTTGTCATTTGAGCGTCATGGACAGATCTGCACCATCTTTATGTGTGGCTGAAGATCATTCGGTTCAATGTCATTGAAGTGTATCTGTCTGTCCGGCAGATGTGATGCTGACCCTTCTGCTCTTGCGAAATATGTGGTTGCCTTGGTGAAGAAAGATAAATCCGAGAAGGAGCTGAAAGCACTATGCATTGACCAGTTGGATGTATTCCTTCAGAAAGGTATAATTCAACACTATTAATGATCTGAATATATGCAGTTTTGTAAAGTTTTTTTTTTTCAAACCAGGTGAAGACCCCTAACTAGTAGGTTCATTGCATAACAACTGCTTCAATTCCATGTCACTTCCAAGACAGACAATGTATATATATATATACTTACTCTGTCAGAACTGAGTCTCTGAAGCTGTTAACATACATTTGCTTTTGCTTTCAGAGACGCAGGTATTTGTGGACAAACTGTTTGAAGCTGTGAACGCAAAGAGTTACCTACCTCAACCGGAGCAGCCGACTTCTGCAAGCAGAACTGAAACTCACCAGCGCACAGAGAAAGATGAAACAAAGAGAGAGGAGGTAACACAAAACAATCACATAAGATCAGCATTTTAAATAATCCTACACTACCGTTTAAAAATTTGCAGTCAGTATTAATATATTAATAAAGAAATTAATACTCTTATTCAGCTAGTGCACATTAAATTGATCAAAAGTGACATTAAAGACATTCATAACGCTAGAAAAGATTTATATTTCAAATAAATGCTGTTCTTTTGAACTCTGTTCTAGGGCTGCAACAACTAATCGATAAAATCGATTATTATCGATTACGAAAATCATCGACAACGATTCTCATTATCGATTAATCGGGTCTGCCCACAGTGCACGTCCAACGGAGTTTACATACTTGTCCAACTTCAGTCGGTCGCGTCAAATTAAAGCACTGAATTACTTATTTCTATGGACAAAATGCATCTAAAATAGTGGAGGAAACAGAATGAGATGCTGCAGGAGAGTTACGTGATCCAAGCTACCCAAAACATGAGAATTCTTTATTTTAAGCTTTAGAAAAAATAATCGACCAACTAATCGATTATCAAAATAATCGTTAGTTGCAGCCCTACTCTGTTCATCAAAGAAAAAATATTAAACCGCACAACTTTTTTCAGTATTGATGATAATCAGAAATGTTTCTTGAGCAGCAAATCAGCATATTAGAATGATTTCTGAAGGATCATGTGACACTGAAATAATGATGCTGAAAATTCAGCTTAGTATCACAAGAATAAATGACATCTTGATGATCATAAGATAATTATTTTAAAAAGTCCTACAGACCCCAAACTTTTAAACGGTAGTGTACGTTGTGAAATTTTGCTTAAAATGTCAATTTTCTTTTTGTGTTTGATGGTATTGATTTCTCTGGTTGTTTTTGCATAAGCAGCCCAGCCGAGACGAGGATCGAGAAAAGAAATTCTCCAGGAGAATAAACCACAGTCCTCCGTCTAGCTCCAGATACAGCCGAGACAGCAGGTGAGATTAACTTTAAATATAAGATTGTTTTAATTTTTTTAACTTTCCCAAAATGCCACACATGCATACATACACACATCTCTTAAGCCACCTTGTTAACTATCCTCATATTTTCTCTTCTATTTAAATGAAATTACAGGAGAGTAGATGACCGCTCCAGGAAGCGAGAGTATGACCGTAACCCACCCAGAAGGGACTCGTACAGGGAACGTTATAACCGCAGGAGAGAACGCAGCCGCAGTTACAGTCGCAGTCGTAGTCGCAGCTGGAGTAAGGACCGCACTCGTGACCGGGACAGAGACCGAGATCGGGACAGAGAGCGGGACCGCACCCGATCACGATCTCGCTCACAGAGTCGCTGCAGAAGCAGAGGTGAGGCGTCACTTTACTTTAGTTGTGTGCTTTATTCCCACATTTGAATTTTTATGCATGTAGATGACATGAAATACTTTATGCTGTGATTAGTCTAAAACTGTTTTGAAAAGACTTTTTAATAAACAGATTTATGTAAGTGCTTATATTTTGTAACTCATATTAATAGAGACTGCATGGAATATTTCTACCTAAAAATACTTGAACCAAAACCAGTAGTTTTAGCTCTTACATATTTAAGTAAAAAAAGCTTCAAAAGTTTGAAGATGATTTTTAAAATGTTTTTGAAAGAAGTCAAAAATACAGGAAAACAGCAATACTGTAAAATATTATCACATATTCTTTTATTCAGTATTTTTTACATTTATTTGATCAATTTTAAATGTAATTTATTCCTGTGATTTCAAAGCTGAATTCTCAGCATCTTTAGTGTCACATCCTTCTGAAATCCTTCTAATATGCTGATTTCTTCTTATTGATTTCTAAACATCTCTTATTATTATCAATGTTGTAAACTGCTTAGTATTTTGCGGAAACTGTGACCAGTATTCCTTGATGAATAGAAAGTTCAAAAGAACAGCATTTATTTGAAATAGAAATCTTTATATTACATTACATTATAAATGCATTTACTGTCACTTTTGATCTATTTAATGCATCCTTGCTGAATGACAAAACTGAAAACTGACCCCTTTTTAACTGTGGTAACTTAGAAACTGGCTTGCATAAAAAAAGAAAATAAAAAAAACGACACATTTTCACAACATTTACAGTGCTCACTTTGTCAGTCTTCTGTTGAACGCTTTTCTTGCCCTTCTAGAGCGAGATTCTGGAAAGCCAAAATACGAGCACAGTCGTCCAGAGCGTCAGGAGGTCGCGACCTCCGATGGCTACACCGCTACGCCTCTCACACCCGGGAACACCTCTGCTCATTTCCCTGTGCCCACCCTCAGTAGCACCATCACTGTCATCGCCCCCACCCACCACGGGAACAACACCACTGAGAGCTGGTCAGAATTCCCACAGGACCACACGCCCTTCGGCAGAGGCGGCCCACCAAGAAAACGCTGTCGTGACTATGATGGTACAGAATTTTTTTACTCTCTAATCAGTGAACCATGTTCATTATAGACTAACCATCTTTCTGTCTTAACAGAGAAAGGCTTCTGTATGCGAGGAGACATGTGCCCATTCGATCACGGAAGTGATCCAGTGGTGGTGGAGGACGTTAATCTTCCCAGCATACTTCCTTTCCAGCCACCGCCTCTTCCTGGAGTGGACGGCCCACCTCCTCCGGGTCTGCCGCCCCCTCACTCACTCCTGACTCCACCAGTGAACCTCAGACCACCTGTGCCCCCACCGGGCACCATGCCACCAAGCCTACCACCTGTAGCGGGTATGAAAAAGCATTTTTCCCAGGTCTAGACTTTTCATTTTAATGTTTAATGTTGAGTGTTTTTTTATAAATGTGCTGTTCTTCTGTCTTTCAGGTCCTCCGCCTCCTCTTCCTGCTCTGCAGCCCTCTGGTATGGACGCTCCACCAAACTCCATCACCAGCTCTGTGCCCACTATAGTGACGTCAGGTGTCCGGCCTCCGATCAGCCAACCTCCACCACCCCTGTTCACTTCAGGTGAGTGCTTATGAATGAGTCATGTCTAATACAGTAATACAATGATGACTCAACTCAACTCGACTGTCATATCTTGAACCTGGACATATGTGACCCTGGACCACAAAACCA